AGGCTTTCCTTTTACCCTGAGAGCATTAGTACCCCCAGTAGCACAGCAGGGGCCTGGGAATCCAGTCAGACTGAGACTACAAAACAACAGAAGTGGACTTCACTTCCCACTGCCTCTTTCTCTAGGGTGGGGCAGCTAATTTTTATCAGAAGTTTAAAGTGCAGGAGGAAATGACAACTAAAAGAAATGAGCATGTTAGACTAAGGGAGTGTTTTGAATGAAAGCTGGGGAAATTTCAGGGTTTGTTGTTTCCTGTCTCCAGATCCAATGGAGAGGCTTTCCTCCATAATCTAGAGCACAGAAGCTAGTGGAGGAACATAGAATTTGGGGAGCCGGATATGCTGGAATGAGACTGAGAATAAAGGAAGTTCCTCTGGTGACATAAAATAGAACAAAAAAAAAGAGAAATTTTGTCATCCTAGTTTGTGAGCATCCTATTTTGATATGTCCAAAATATGACACAATGGAACCTACCTGCTTCTATGGGAAAAATACCTACTGACTACCAACTCAAAAACAATTGGGGAGGAAGTCTTGGTGTGGGCTCTTTACCTTTTAATTAAAAAAAAAAAAATAGTTGAAAATCTCCTGCTTTGGCAGCAGTTAAGCTGAGAGCTTTTTCACTTCCATGTGAAGCTATGTCTAATTCCACTCTTCCAGCTCTCGTTGCAAAAAAAAAAAAGGGGGGGGGGGGGCTAGCCATCTTGGCTCAATGGATAGAGCATTGGCCTGCAGACTGAAGGGTCTCGGGTTCAATTTCCATCAAGGGCACATGCCTGGGTTGTGAACTCAATCCCCAGTCCCAGGTGAGGCAGCCAATCAATGATTCTCTATCATCATTGATGTTTCTATCTCTCTCTCCCTCGTCTCTCTGAAATCAATAAATTTTTTAAGGGGGGGGGGGTAATGAAACAATATAACGTTCATATTTTATAAACCAAGTTCTTCTTTTCACCAATCAGGCTTAAATTAATTGGCACTATAAGAAGAATAGAGAATACAGGCATATGTTTCTATTTGTGGTGTTGGGGTGAGGGTTGATAAAAGATGTGTGTGCTATTATATATGGTTCCAGTTTTTGAAATTCGTTTTTAAAATTTTTTCTTATTAAATTTATTCTGATGATATTGGTTAATAAGATTATATGTTTCAAGGATACACGTTTATGATATATGATCTCTATATTGCATTATGTGTCTACTACCCAAAGTCAAATCATTCTGTCAACCATATATTTGACCCCTTTTACCCTTTGAGATTCCCAATAATCTTAATTCTTGAGTAGAGATCGGCTAAAACAATGGGAGAGTTCTGCAAAGTTCTTAACTTTTTATTTAATCCCGAATATATCAATGTGGATCACACCATTACATTTGAGCAGTGTTCCTTGGATTGACATCTCACCTCATGTTGCAGGAGGAATTCTAGCTCCTATATATTTTGGGGCTCTGATTGATAGATCGTGTATGAAGTGGTCCATCAGTAGCTCTGGGAAGCAAGGTTCTTGTAGGATCTATGATTCCACTCTTTATGGGTAAGTTGTCATTAATATATTTTATTAATTTGTTTTTCTTTGATTATATCAATTAAATATCCCATTTAAAATAATTTAAAAATTCTTTGTACTCCAATAAAAAGAATAACTAGAATTGCTGCCTTAATATTTTTATGTATACTTTCAAACACCATTTGTTTGTTTTCTCCCTTTAAGGTCTTCTGAATACTGGAGAGAAGCATTGTAAAGTGTTTCACACATTTTAAAATAAAAATTGACTTTTTTTCTCTTTTCACAGAAAGACCTTCTTGGGCTTGATTGAGAGCTTAAAATTCACAACAGTTATTTTGTTTATTATATTTATTTATGCTATGAAAAAAGTATATAAAGGAAAAGATACCAAGGCATCAGAAAATAGAAGAAAATCTGTGAATGAAGCAAATGTAGAATTCTTAAATAATGATGTTTATTTTGAACCTTCTGCCAAAGCCAACTGTGAATCACATATGTAAGGGTTAAAAAAAAGTCTTTTCTTTCTGGGTTTCCAACAAACATTGCATTAATTCAATAGGATATTATTTTTGTGTGTTTTTCCTGGTCCTTTTACTAACTATTCCCATATTCTTTACATATGATGAGACAATGAATTACCCATGAATTTATAATAATTAAACAAACTATAAATAAAAATGAATGTGAGCACTCATTATTATGTGACTACATTTGTGGTTAAGATTAGAATATATGAACCACACAAATTTAAAGTGAGAATAGTATGTAAGAGAAGAAAAAGTACGTGTGTAACTCAATAAAGCAAGTGACTAGAAAATAGGTAGAGGTAAAAAAAAAAAAAAAAAAAAAAAAATGAAGAGAGAAATTCATAGCCTAAATAAGGAGAAAAGCCTTAAACCTTTTCTAAAGAACAAAGCAGTGTGGATTGCCAGAAGCTAATTCCAGCATGTTATATATGCAAGAAGTTTCAACAAAAGGTTGGTGGAACCTTCTGGTTTATTCAGCAAAGCTGAATCATCTGGAATGGCTAAGGGCATTTCTCCAAACCTAAAAGGATGCAAAAATGATTGCTTGCTGCCAGACAGCTGAGGGCATTTTAATCTACAAGTTATTGCCTCCTGCTGGCCAAACACCTGAACAGCCAAAGGCAGTTCCCCAAAAAACAATGCCTATAGTATACTAAACCAGTGTTTTTCAACCTTTTTTGGGCAAAGGCACACTTGTTTCATGAAAAAAATCACGAGGCACACCACCATTAGAAAATGTTAAAAAATTTAACTCTGTGCGTATATTGACTATATATAAAGTAATTCTCTTGAATAGGAATCAAATAAACACAAAGAAAGTATTTTATAATTACTTTATTATGAAATATTAAGTAAACAAAATAGTGAAAAATTATAAAATTCTTGTCTTGTCTGCACCTACGGCACACCAGGCAACATCTCGCAGCACACTAGTGTGCCACGGAACAGCGGTTGAAAAATGCTGTACTAAACTTTGCCTTTGATGTGTATATCTGCTTTGCCTTAGGAGAATTTGTGTTAATAAAGAGCAAGGGGTCCTGAGACAGATAGAACTTGGTTCCTACAGCCAAGCTCCTCTGGCTACTCCATGGATTACAAATTTATATTATATTTCTAGTCTCTTGATTAATTAAGAGCAGCCCCTTCTCCAGATATTTTGAATCCTAACAGCAGCAGAGAAAGACCAAGACTGCGATAATGGATCACATTGCTAAAGTCCAAAGTCTACTATAATGGAGGATTAAGGCCATCATGCCATCTGTCACTCATGTATTAAGTCATATCTTTCACAGACCTTAATTAAATTTGTCTAGCAACCCGCTAATACATCTTCTTCCAACCTCCCATTAAAATACTGCTGAGGAAATAAACAAAAATTTGCAAACTATGGTTGTCAGACAATTACAGAATGTGTTGTTTATTTTGAGCTTGGGGAAATGAAGTAAGAAAAACTGATGGTAACTTGAAAAAGCAAATGCCATTTAACAGATGTGTCTTCATTTTATCTATCTTCTCTCTGGAGGAAGTGGAGTCTGCACCAGCTAATATTTAAAATTTTAAATATATTTTTATTGATTTTAGAGAGAAAGGAAAGAAGAGTGCCATTGCAAATGGTAATATTTTATTGTTGTTTTTAATGGCCAAATAATATTCCATTGTGTAAATGTATCACAACTTTTTTTAATCTACTTATCTATGGATGGGCAGCACTTGGGTTGCTTCCACATCTTAACTATTATAAATAAGGTTGTAATGAACATGTAAATGCATATATTCTTTTGAAAGTGTTTTGGGTTTCTTTGGATATATTCCCAGAAACAGAATTGCTGTGTCATAAGGCAGTTCCATTTTTAGTTTTTTGAGGAACGTTCCACACTATTTTCCATAGTAGCTGCACCAATCTGCATTCCCACCAACAGTGCACAAGTGTTCCCTTTTTGCCACATCCTCACAACACTTGTTGTTTATTGATTTATCAATGATAGCCATTCTGACAGGTATAAGGTAACATTTCCTTGTGGTTATAATTTGCATTTCTCTGATGATTAGTGGCATTGAACATCTTTTCATATATCAATATGTCATCTTTTAAGAAGTGTCTATTCAAATCCTCTGCCCATTTTAAATAGTATTGTTTGGCTCATTTTGGTGTTAAATTATATGAATTATTCATAAATTTCATACAACCCCTTATCCAATGTATCATTGGCAAGTGTTCTACCATTCTTCAAACTTTCAACCAGAGGCTCTTACCTACATTCAGGGACGTTCTAAGTGAATTCTGGATTACAGCTTCTACCAGTCTAGAAACATTCTCATTTTCCTTATATTCTACATAAGTAACCATAGTACATTGAGACCCTCTTCTCCCTTTCTTCTTTTCTACATTCTCCTCACCATTGGGGACTTATGTCATTTTTATATATTGACTCTAATTTCAATGTGATGAAGAATAAGGAGGAAGATACACATGGATGTTCATTATTAACCTCATTAATCCCATCTCCATTATTATCCATAAGGCTCTTGTTTTATATCTTCTATAGATTATGAAGTAATACTCTGAGTATGTTTAATTTTTGTTTGTTTTATAGAGTAGATTTGATTTTAAATGTTCATCTTGAATTTTATTAACTTCAGTTTTATAAGAAAAGCTACTTTTTAAAACTTTCATTCTCTAAGATATTTTATGGAAAATTAGTGTTTGTACACTAACTTGGGACACTGTGAATGGTATGACCATTGGTCTAAAGAGGCCTCATGAATCTGGCAAAGTGTTTCTTTGATGATATCTTCACAACAATCTTTAAGAACTAGTGTCTTTCTAATATGACCCTTTCATTCTTTGGCTCAGACACTTGTGTTTAAGAAAAAGTAATCTGGTTTGAATTGCTGAAAATAAAATTCCAACAATCTTTGCTACATGATTTTTAATAACCTGATTCAGTTTGTCAGTTTACTGAACAAAATGAGCAAATATATGGCATGAATAATAAAGCAGAGAATGGGTTGAAAGCATGTGATGGCACATTGATGAGGAAACTATTTTCAAAGTCATATCTAGAATAAATAGTAGTTAAAGAATAATGTTACCTAATAAAAGAGTAATATGCAAATTAATCATCACTCCACTACACCCACCAGCCATGCCCACCAGCCCTGCCCACCAGCCAATCAAAGTGAGAATACAAATAAACCCAACCAAGATGGCTACAGCCACAGAGAGCAGGAGGGAGGCTTGGGTTTCCCTAAAAACAGAGGAAGCCAAGCTCCCCCCTGCCCTTGCCAGCCTAAGCCTCCACAAAGTTTCAATTATAGAAGGTAAGCAAATCCAAACAGAAATGGCTGCAGCCACGACGGGAGCAGGAGGGTTGGCTCCACTCCAGGCTACAAAGTTTCAATTGTAGAAGGTAAATAAATTCCAGATACCAGGGCCTCCGCTTGGGTCGCCAAGGGGCATGGCTGTCCTGCAAACCATCACAGGCCCCTCGCCCAGGCTGTCCCACACCTCAAGGAAACACCCACCCTGATCTGAGACAGCTTTCAGGGAAAACCAGCTGGCTCCCACCCATGCACCATGCCTCTATCCTATTTAATAAAAGTGTAATATGCAGATTGACCATCACTACAACACACAAGATGGCTGCCCCCATGTAGTCAAAGATCCTGCCCCCATATGGACACAAGATGGCCAGCAGGGTAGGGCAGTTGAAAGGGAGGGTAGTTGGGGGCAATCAAGCCTGCAGGGGAGGGCAGTTAGGGGTGACCAGGCCTGAAGGGGAAGGCAGTTAGGGGCAAAGAGGCTGGCAGGGGAGCAGTTAGGCATCAATCAGGCTGGCAGGGCAGTGGTTAGGAGGTGATCAGGCTGGCAGGCAGAAGCAGTTAGGGGCAATCAGGAAGGCAGGCTGGTGAGGAGCTGGGAGCCAGCAGTCCTGGTTTGTGAGAGGAATTGGGCCTAAGCAGGCAATCGGACATCCCTTGAGGGGTCCCAAATTGGAGAGGGTGCAGGCTGGGCTGAGGGACACCCCCACTCCATGCAAGAATTTCGTGCACTGGGACTCTAGTTCATAAATAAAAGAAAACAGCATAGGCTTCTTTCAATTGAAAGCAATAAATTTGAATAAAATAAATATTCACATAAGCAGGATGAGAATTCCAGTTTCTAACCCCAATACCAAAACAGATACTCAGTGGAATTAAATAGATTTTCATAACAGGGAATTTTTAGAATCATTTGGAAAAGACAATGCAGGAAGTATATTCTTATTGTATGTAAGTTAAAAGAGAAATTTCTGTTTTAACATAAATATAAAGTTGGCTGTAGGCCTGATCGGGTGGCTCAGTTGGTAGGAGTGCCATCCAGTACACCAAAAGGTTGTGGGTTTGATTCCCAGTCAGGGCACACACCTAGGTTGTAGGTTCTATCACAGGGAGGCAACTGATCAATGTTTCTCACTTTGATGTTCCTACCTCTCTCTCTCTCTCTCCCCCTCCCCCTTCCTATCTAAAGAAATTAATAGAAATATATTCTTGGGCGAGGATTAACAAAAAATTTTTAAATAATAAAGCTGGCCCTAATATCCAGTCCTTAGGGTTGTTATAAATGTCCATCTAAGGAAAACCTCAAGTGCCACTGATGGCTCAGAAATACCATCAGTGAACTCTTTGTTTTTTACCCTAAGTGGAAAAACTTTTTTAGGTTCCTAGACAAGAAAAGGTTACCTGCAGTACCTTTATTGGTCTTTGCAAACAATTAAGTTATAGAGTGTTCTTCAACTCTGGGAGGATATTACATTTTAGTTTTCAATACATCATTACTCGAAACTTTGGAAGTTTGGTCCATTTCTTGGCACTCATTCCCTGTAACCTTTGCCTCTATAGGCATAGCTCCTGAAGTGGTATTTTCACCAGGTAGAGGACGCTTCCTCAAAATAATTAAGATAAAAATCCCTGGAATATAGCTTAATCCTCTTAGTGCTGCTGGCAATCCAAGGTAGAGGTGTCTGTCAAAAAACAAAAGTTGAAACATATTAAATTTTATATAGACAGTATGGTGAATACCAACTAGTTCTGTAGATCTTTAATTATCGATATTTTATTCCCATAAGAACAACAGCAGCTAATTGTTTTGCATGTTGATCATACATACGCAACTTTGCTGAACTCGCTTATTAATTTTTGTTAAAATGGTTTCTTTAGAATTTTTCATCCAGAAAATCCAATTTTTTTTTCTGATCTTTCAGTATTATTTTTATTTGTTTACACTGACTAGACATTCCAACTTAAATTGAATACTGATAGTGATTGCATTTCTAGGCCAGTGTTTAACAAAAATACTCCTAAAGAATCACCCTTATCAACAGATCACCAAAGATTTGTAAAGCTTGGACTCAGTGCTTTTAAAGATGGGAATTTTGATAGATTCAATTTAAATTGCTATAAAATATTCATGTTTTTATATACTTATAGTAAAATTTTGGTAATATATCATATATTTGTTTAGAAAATTCTCATTCAATTTGTTTCCAACTTGTTATATCTAAAACCCATAAGTAACTGTACTTATATTAATATTCCCTTTTTCATTTTTAATCCTCACTGGAAAATATTTTTTATTGATTTGAGAGAAAGAGAGCAAAAATGGGTGGAGGGACATTGATGTGAGAGAGAAATATCAATTAATGCCTTCTGTACATGCTCTGACTTGGAATCAAAGTAAAATCTAGATATGTGCCTTCACCAGGAATCAAACCTGCTATTTTTTGATGAATGAGATGATTCTTCAACCAACTTTTTCATTCATAATACTGTTTATTTGTGTTACCTCTCTTTATTGACTTTCTAAATTAACTGCCATTATTATATTTTAAAGTTTGCAAAAACACAACTTTTTTTTTTGTTACATCTATGTTATGTAGCCTATTAATTTCTGCTTTGTATTTTCATCTTTTTACTTCTAAAATGTAATTTTATTATGAAACATTCCAAGAGTACAGGGAAAAATATTAAACAAGTCTTAACTCACTATCAAGGTTTTTTAAATTAATAAATTTTGCTACTTTTATTTCAGATCAATTTAGCAGAAAATACTAATACATTTAAGTCCTCTGTGTACCCTATAATCCTAATGCTTTCTAACCCATCCCAGATATAACATTATGTTGAATATCATTAATTTTGTTCCTCATTTATTTTTAAAGTTTTACAAAGTATATATATGTATACATTTATGGTTTATACAATTATTTTATGTGTTTTTTTAAATAATTGGCATAATACTGCCCCATTAGGAGAACTTAATTCAAATTTAAACCAAATTCTGATATCCAAAATAGAAAGAGAAAAATGGAAGAGTTTTGTTCAAAAACTTGTTAATATCCTGTGTTTTGTTCAAAATCAGATTTTGATTAACAAAAAAAAGAAAAGAAAAAAAAAAGCCTTTAAGAGACATAAAGAATATTGTGACAGTGAAATTTAATGAGAGAGAACAAGTATCACTTTGGAGATCAGAGGTATTTGGTGAAAGGAAGTAAGGATTCAAGCTAGTAAGATGCTAAAATGATGGAGGATGAAATGGGACACTTTAGATCAGCAATTTTTAGCTGTGTGCAAGAATTTTTAAAACATGTGATCCCTGTTTAGTCAAGGGCACTGACCTCTTTTCCCTTAAATTTACAAATAAAAAAAATTATAACAATCAATACAACAATAGCTGTCCAGTATGAATAAATCAAAATTAACTTTTCTTTTGTCAAATTGGCAAATATAAATATATATATATATACATATATACACACACACACACACACACACACACACACATATATATATATATATATATATTTGTTGTGCTGCAGAATTTTAGTAATTAGTTTATATGAAAAGAAAAGGATTAAAATTGCTGCTTTAGAGAATAAAATAATTTCGATAGATAGCTCATGTATAGCCATTACTTTCAATAATGCATTGACTGCAAACAATTAAACAAACAACATTTTGAAAGGCTAAGTTAGAAAATCATCCATTTTAAATTTATCAAGTACTTTGAAAATATTGAGAAAATGGAGTTCTAGCACATAAATAAAAGGGGATATAGGATCAATATCTATTCTGAAAACAAAACAATAAGTAGACTAGTCACTTGGCAAAGAAAATATTAGACGTTAGAGGTCTGGTGCACAAATTTATGCACCAGTGAGGTCCCTTGGCCTGGCCTACAGGATGGGGCCGAAACCAGCTCCCCAACATCCCCTGAGGGGTCCCGAATTGCAAGAGGGTGCAGGCCAGGCTGAGGGACCCCACCAGTGCATGATCAGGGCCAGGGAAGGATGCAGGAGATTGGCTCTAGGGCATGTCCTGATTGGACAGATCCCAGCAGCAAGTTAACCTACTGTGTTTCCCCAAAAATAAGTCATCCTCCGAAAATAAGACCTACTTACAGGTTTCCTTCTGAGTGAAATATAAGGCGCCCCCCCCCCCCCCTGAAAACAAGGCACCCCACCCCCCCAGGCTAAACATGAGAGACTTGGTCCACTGATTCTGAAAGAAATGGAGTCACAAGAAATTCACCACAAAATTCAGGAATTGGATTGTTATGATGATGTTCCAGAAGATGATGACATGACTGTCAATGAATAAATGAGTAAATTCTTGATACTGTAGAATTCAGTTTGTCTGGTTTATGTTGACAAGTACCATACTACCATACCATATACAGGTAATAAATTTCCTTTATTTTCATTTAACAATAAATGTGTACCGTATTCTTCTTCATGAAAAAATAAGACATCCCCTGAAAATAAGACCTAGCACATCTTTGGGAGCAAAAATTAATATAAGACATTGTCTTATTTTTGTGGAAACAGGGTACCAGTCGGAGCATTTGCCCCCTGATGGTCAGTGCACATCATAGCAACTAGTTGACCAGTCAACTGTCTGCCCCCTGGTGGTCAGTGCACATTATAGTAAGTGGTTGAGTGGCCTTAGCATATCATTAGCATTCTAGTGGCCCAGTGCATGAAATTCGTGCATGGGGAGGGGTGTCCTCAGTATAGCCTGCACCCTCTTCAATCTGGAATCCCTCGAAGGATGTCCTGCTGCCAATTTACAGGAATCGGGCCTAAATTGGCAGTTGGACATCCCTCTCACAATCTGGGACTGCTGGCTCTAGCCACTTACCTTCCTGCCTGCCTGCCTGATTGCCCCTAACCACTCTGCCTGACAGCCTGCTTGCCCAAAATTGCCCCCCATACTGGCCTGCTTGCCCCCAAATGCACTCCACCAGCCTGATCACCTTCAACTGCCCCCGCCTCCCCTATTGGCCTGCTCACTCCCACCTCCCCTTCTGCCCCCCTGTTGGCCTGCTCACTCCAAACTGCCCCCTCCTGCTGTCCTGATAACTTCCAACTGGCCCCCTGCTGGTCTGCTTATCCCCAGCGGCTCCACCCCCAACCAACCTGGTCACCCACAACTGCTGTCTCATCATGGCCTGATCACTCCCTGGCAACACAAGCTCCCAGCCCCTCCTTTCTTTCTTTCTTTCTTTTTTGCTTCCAGCCAGCCCCTGCCTCCTTGAGTGGAGGCCAGGGCTGGCTGGAAGCAAGTATCTGGGATTTATTTATCTTCTATAATTAAAACTTTATAGCCTTGAGTGGAGGCAGGGGCCATCCAGGGCAGATGGGAAACTTGGCTTCCTCCATTGCCAGGGGCAACCCAAGTCTCCTGCTCACTCCAGTTCTGTGGCTGCCACCATTTTTAATGGGACTTATTTATCTTCTACAATTAAAACTTTGTAGACTTGAGAGGATGCCAGGGCTGGCCAGGGCAGGTGGAAAGCTTGGCTTCCTCCATCACCAGGGAAACCCAAGCCTCCTCCTCATTCCAGCTCTGTGACCGCTTCCATCTTATTTGGGTTAATTTGCATACTCTCCTGATTGGCTGGTGGGTGTGGCTTGTGGACATAGCAGAAGTATAGTCAATTTGCATGTTTCTCTTTTATTAGTATAGATTATGTTTTGATTGGTTGAATGGCTGACCAGACAACCAGAGACTTAGCATATTGGGCTTTTATTATATAGGATGATTGGTGACATTTTATGCAGTCTATGCTAAGAAAATAATTCTTTTTAAAAATTATTATCTTTACCTGAAGTTGGTGGAATCATATATCCTGCATGCTCCTGACTCACCACATTTAAAAGTTGCCCAATGTAAACATGTGGTGTCCATTAAAGCTCCAAAATATATA